GGGTCTCGAACCCGCGGGCTCAGGCAATCCACTCACTTCAGCCTCCCAAGGTGCGGGATTACAGGCTGAGCTACCGAGCCTGGCTTGGCCTGTTTATTTTGTATAAAAAGTTCTTGTTTTATTTGTTTCTAATTAAGTACTCAGGATGCCTTACAGACACAACTTGTTAGTGATGAAAATATTGTATTTAAAAATAGTTAAGGTATGAATTGGTAAAGTGTCTTATTAAACCACACTTTTATAGAATATGAATACATAGAAGATCATTTCTTTAAGGGATGGGGGAAAAATCCAAAGACCATCAACTATATATAAGATGTGCTCACTAACAGCTGTTTCTTATAATGGGAACAATTTGCATTCGGAAGAGAGAAAATGAATTATACAAAAGGGTGTATAGGGGAACAGCTATACCTTCCCTGGCACTTGCAGCAGCCCACAAAATAAACTTCCTTCAAATGACACTGGCGTGATTAATCCCAAGCAACCTGGACACTGAAACTGCTGTTCTCAAAAGGGGCTCGGCAGCCTGGAAATGTCATGGGTGTAATACTAGCCTTCTAGCTGATGTCGGGTGGAGGAAGCCCAGTGTATTTAGTGGGCACTCCCACTTCTCCGCAGTGTTCGGGGTATTTGAATATTCATGATAGATTGGCAGGTGGTAAGTGAATGCAAGACTGAAGCCACTCTGGGTTCTTTTTTTTTTTTTTTTGAGTTGGAGTCTCACTCTGTTGCCCAGACTGGAGTGCAGTGACCACTCCCGGCCACGGCAGCCTTGATCTACTGGGCTCTGGCGATCCTTCCGCCTCAGCCTTCCAAGTAGCCGGAATTACAGGCATGTGCTACCATGCCCGGCTGATTGTTTTATTTATTGTAGAGATGAGGTCTCGCTGCCCAGGCAGGTCTCGAACCCGCGGGCTCAGGCAATTCACTCACCTCAGCCTCCCAAAGGCGCAGAATTACAGGCTGAGCCACCGAGCCCGGCTCACTCTGGGTTCTTATGCTTTTTCATTTTTATCTTAAAAGAACTTACAAGGTCAAGTCAGATGCTTCATTCCTGATTTTACTTCTGATTTCAGTTTGGAGAAAATTTCCTAAGGTGAACCTCAGTTTACCTTTTTGGAACCATATTTGTACTTGCGAAATGTTTAACCAATTTTCATGCACATTATCATTTCTGTATTTAAAATACCTCATGCATTTATTTCTCCACATATTGTCTTCTTACATGTTGATGGTCATGCCTTCAGATGTGTATATGGTACCTCCCCTCCTCTTTAAAGGATAAGGAAACCTAGGCTGTCTAGAGAATCCTTAATCCAGGGCTGTGGACCTGAGTCTTCTGATCCAAACCTAGGACTCTCTACTTGATGCATCCTTTTTAGTTTCATCCAAAAAGGCTTTATAACAACTGGGTAGTTTAGTGTTAGATTTCCTGCCTTGCTTCAGTCATTTATTGAGAACTTATTTGTGCCAGGCCCTGTGTTGGATCTTCTGCATACATCATTGTCTTAGTTTGTTCAGGCTGCTTTAACAAAGTACCATACGTGGGTGACTTGTAAACAACATACATTTACTTCTCACAGTTCTGGAGACTGAAAGTTTGAGATCAGGGTGCCAGTATGATCAGGTTCATGGGAAGGCCCTCCTTAGGGTTGCAGACTGTCATCTCTTTGCCATGTCTTCACATAGAGGAAGGGACAAGAGCTCCCTGGGGTGCTAACTGTATTCCTGAAGGCTCCAACTTCAGAACTTAATCACCTCCCAAAGATACCACCTCCTACTATCACTAATAGGGTTTAGGGCTTCAAATTTTGGAATCTGGGGAGATACAAATATTCTGTCCACAAAAAATCACCCTATTTAGTCTTTACACTGTCTAGAAATGGAAACCAACGTTCAGAGAGGCAAAATAGTTTTGCAGAGGTAGCTTGCCTAGTCTGACGTGGATTATGGATTGGTACCCAGTGTGTTGACTGCCGTACCTGAGCCCTGATATTCTTTTTCTTCCTGAGGTAAACGTTCTTTCTGTCCTTCAAAAGTGAAAAGAAATTAGCAGATGAGATTTTTGAGTATATAGTCATAAGGAACTCTGTTGAGTGTCAAAGCAGTGATTCAGAGAGTTAATACTTTGTGAGGATAAAAGGAGAAGAGATGGTAATCCTTTGTGGTCTAGGAAGGCCTTGTGAAGAAAGTAGGATTTGAATTAGCAGAGGATACTAAGAGTGGCCTCGAGGTATGATGGAAGGAATAACAGGGGGGACCAGGCATGGGGTGGAAAATGCTGAGCACATTTAGGAGGACTCAGTGCACTGGAATAAAGCATAGGAGTTTTGTAAAGCATAGGTTACAAAGGGACAGGTAAGCTGGAACTGCTCAATAGGATTCGGGGTGTCAGGATGCATGGTCTTGATATTTAGCATGCACATTGTTACTTGATGATGCTACCAAAATGCAGTCTTAACCAGTTGGCTTGTGACTGATTTTGGTTTAATGGAAATTTTACTGGAATGAAATCCTATTTAGCTTCTTAGGGTTTCTTATTCCCCAAGAGCTTGCCTAACAGTCTTGCTTCCTTCTAACACCATGAAAAATAAAAGAACCTTATTGTTTCTTGTGTACTCTTATAATGTGATTAGATAAGTGTTTTTATACATACTGGTGTTTCAATAAGTATTCTTTTGGAGAGGGAGGAGGGAAAGGGGGAGATTCTGGGTCTTAATGGAGATTAGTAACACTGAAAAATTCTGGGTTTGAGTTTTCTAAGAAAAGAGGGTGGCATAGAAATCAGGACATCTCAGATAAGTGAAGAATTAAGGTGGGGAGTGATTTATATAAAAGACTAGACATAGTACTTTTGTTAGAAAACGTATAGTTCTTTTCAAGCTTTGGGTCAAAAGGTGCTGTCTTCAGTCTCCCTAAAGCTGTAGGGCAGGGTGATAACTGAAATGCATTCATTAATGATCATGGTTGACAATAATGAGTTATATAATGAGCTATCCTCCACCAAGATTTGAATAAATAACTTACAAATTTGATTTATACCGGAAAAATTATTGTTGTAGATTCTGGAGAAGAAATAAAGGATATTTCAGAGACCCACCTGGGGGGTTGGCAAGGGGCTGTGAAAATGGGTGTGATCTAGATGGTAGAATGGAATTTTTTCTTTTCTTTCTTTTTTTCTTTTAAAGAATATCTTTTTGTCTATTGTTCTCATGTTGCCTATTTTCTTTTTTAATGTTGCAGTGTGCAAAGATCCACCTTACAAGGTAGAAGAATCTGGGTATGCTGGTTTCATTTTGCCAATTGAGGTTTATTTTAAAAACAAGGTATGTAATCTTTACCCATTAATCTTTCAAGTAGAAGATCCTCCATTAACCACATGATGTTTAAAGTAATTTTGGCTCATAAGCACTTCTATCACTAGATGATTTAAAAATAAAAGTTAAATTTGTCTTCTAGGAATTTTGGCTATCATTACTTTTAATTATAGAGGAAGTGACTAAAAAAGATAATTTCAGTTATATGCAGTCAGGTTCTATGAAATTCATTAAATGTTCCCTTAAAGAGACGATTGATTACCATTTTGAGAAAGGTTAATATATGTTTGTAAAATAGAACAGAGGAATGATGGTTTTTCAGTAAAATGCTCCTTTTCTCATTTCCATATTTCTAGAATTTTTGAGGCTCACACAGAATAATCTTATTTTAGCTTTAACTGATATAAAAACATGACACATATATACAGTTATTTCAACTTGAGTTATTATGGGCTCTACTGGATTTAAAGTTTTCTGCAGTGCACGTGTGGCAAAACACACAGACTCTCATAGTGGGCAGATTGCTCAACCTCTGTGGGACTTCCCTTATTCGTAAAATGGGGAGATAAGAGTAGCTACCCCATAAAATGGTTAGAATTATAGTTAAAATAAATCTGTGTAAAGTATTTAGAACAGTGCCTCACATGTAAGCAAGCACTTAATAAATGCTAGGTAGTATAGCACGTTGCTCCTTATTTTGCCTCCAAAGATATCGTAGTTTATAAAACTTGCCCAAAGGTGAGGTAATTCGCTTTGTTTTCTCTTTTAAGGAACTGAGCAAATAGAATGTCATGGTATCCCCAATCAGTATGGTCCTTGCGTCAGCATCAGCAGTACCCAAGGACAGTTTGGAAATGAGATTCTCAGACCCCATGCAGATGGATCTACAGAATCTGAGCCTCTGGGAGCAGGGTCTAGGAATCCTGCATATTTGCTAGTCCTCCTAGTGGTTCTTTTACTCAGTAAGTATGAGAACCGTGGATAAGCCACTCTTTAATGTGTAGTTCCATCCACTGGAACAGCATCACACTGGCTTTGTCAGCTTATAGAAGGCTCAGTCTTCAATTTAGCAAATTAGAAAGTGTTAAAACCAGATTTTTAACCTACATCTTTCTTTCCATTGACTAAACTCTTAGTTTCTTTTTTTCTTTTTTTTCAGTCGGAGTCTCACTCTGTTGCCCAGACTGGAGTGCAGTGGCCGCTCCCGGCCACCGCAGCCTCGTCTGCTGGGCTCCGGCAATCCTTCCACCTCGGCCTTCCAAGTAGCCGGAATTACAGGCACACACGACCATGCCCGGCTAATTTTTTGATCTTATAGTAGAGATGAGGTCTCGCCTGCCCAGGTGGGTCTCGAACCCATGGGCTCAGGCAGTCCACTCACCTCAGCCTCCCAAAGGCACGGGATTACAGGCTGAGCCACACCGAGCCCGGCTAACTCTTAGTTTCTATGCCTTGGAAACAATAACTCTTTGCTAGAATGATTACCTTTCTTAGTGGTGATGCAATTGAATTGTTCACATGTTTTTCAGCAAGTCAGACTTGAGATGCTCACGTGAGATGCCTTTACATTGATGTACTGATGTTTCTTATTTTGAGAGGAATTTTCCTTAAGAAAATAGTTTTTGACTTTTTTAGCTTCTTTGTTTTCTTTCTTCACCATCAATTTCTCCAATGCTTGTTACACTCTTTTTTATTATTAAAGTCATCCTAGTAGGTACGAAGTGGTATCTCATTTTGGTTTTGATTTGTGTCTCTCTGATGACTTATGATATTGAACATCTTTTCATAAGCTCATTGTTCATTTGTTCATTTTCTTGGAAAAATGACTATCCTTTGCCCATTTTTAATGTGTTTTTTCCTTTTACCTCTTTTTTAAAAATTGTATTTTATTGTAGAGATGTGGGATACAAGTCTGGATGCTATACAAGTAGGTTGCATGCAGATGAAGTTTGGGCCTCCAACTAGTCCTTACTTCCCCTGGTTTAGGACCAGTACCCTTTGTGTTGTTACAGACCCCCCCCCATGTATTTTTAATTTAATTGGGTGTGTTTATGGAAAGAAATTTAGAGTCTTTCTTCACTCCCTATGTCTCCATTCCTCGTGTCTCCACTCTCCATGTTCCCCCTTTTATTTTTATTTATTTTTTCTTTATTTTATTTTAAAGATGTGGGGAATCAAGTCAGGATTAGGTACATAAGTGGTCTACGTGCAGGTGAAGTTTGGGCTTCCCACTGGTCCTCACTTACCCTGTTTTAGGATGAAGTAGTGATGTTATATGCTCCCTCCTCCTCCCCTGGAAGTATCCTGCTACTGCTGATCCCTCTCTTGTAGTATTTTGATAAATGTGTAGTACCCACTTATGAATGATAACATGTGGTTTTTAGTTCTTTGTTTCTGTGATAGATCACTGAGTATGATGGACTCTAAATCCATCCAGTTTCTGTGAAGTCCAGGATTTTGTCCTTCATGGCTGAGTAATACTTCATCATGTATATGTACTACATTTTTTTAAAAATCCAGTCCATTTTCAAAGAACAGCAGGGTTGGTTCTGTTTTTGCTATTGTAAATAGTGCTGCAGTAAACATGCATGTGCTGGTATCTTTTTTGTAGAATGATTTGAGTATCTCTGAGTATATTCCCAGAAGGGGTATTGCTGGGTATTGTGTTCCCTTTTTTAATATCTTAGAAAGTTTAAATAATGAAGATCAGATGGTGTTTTTCTTCCCTCTTGTCACATCCTTATATCCAGTGTTTTAATATCACTTAGGGATTGGACTACATCTTTGCAAGAATCTAAGCCTTCAAGCCAGAGAAGTTCTTGTCTCAAAGAGGTTAGGGGGTGGACAATTATGATCTCTTGTGAGAGGATCATAATGGTTATGGTTATGCCACCTACGTTAATTTGACATTGCACTGGCTTCAGTTTGGAAATAATGATGCAGTAAAGTATCTTCTCTCTTGTCTTGATGTTAACTTTTGAGGTCATTTTTATAAGTTCTCAACTGAACAGAGAAATCTATTTCCTGAATTGCCCAGTTTCCTGATTTACAGCAATAACGGAAATCTCCCCCCACACTAGATTTAAAAAGAGAACAAATAAAGGGAACAGAGGCATCAATATCACCCCCTAACCCACACATACACACATGCAAATTCAGCTAATCATTTTTCTTGAAATTTGTGAAGCAGGGTAAAAAACAAAATATACTGAGGGCACATTGGCTGGTTGTTATTATGACTATAAGGCATAGTATTTACTTTGTGAGGGATTTTAGTTGCTTAAAATAAGAAGGAAGAAAGCAGCATATTAATGGAAAGCAGTTCTTCCTTTGGGGCCATTGTAAAATAGATCCTTAAGCTGATTACTGTTAAGCAGATTCTCTGGTTGGTATCCAGATTAGTTTATTTTTATTTTCTAGTTTTAGGTTTTCTTGAAGATGTCATTCTTAATAATGATTGCTCCTTTCAAGTGTGCACAATGAAACATGTATGTTTCAGTGTTTGTAATATGAAAAAAGTAGAATACCACTAATTGACCTTATGGAAAGATGTTGATCAATAAATGGTGACTTAATAATCCATAGAATGCTATTCAGTCCTTAATATGGCAAGGTCTTAAAAGTTTCAGAAGTATATGTATATGGTTTTGGTATCATTTGTGTATTTTTAAAATAAAATACTGAAACAAGTAAAGGTGTTAAGGAAACACATATTTAGTATAAAAGCATGTGCTGGAATGACAACACAGGAGCTTAAAATGGTTGGTTACTGGGAGAGGAGGGATTGAGAAGGTTACACGTATCAAATTTTATTTCTTTAAAGAAAGTGGTGGAGCAAATTTGTTGCAAGTGTTAACATCTTTTTAATCTCAGTGGAGAGTACAAGGGTATAGTATTTTAAGTATTTTTTAAGTTATTGATTTTTTAATTAAAAAGGTAATTATTGCTTTGCTACCTCTTTTAGTTGATATTCTCAGAGTATCTTAAGAAACAAATTTTTGCTATATTCTGATCTGGATTTCTGAGCTAGATATGTTTCTTTTTAAGTTTCAATATAATTTTTTAAAAAAAATAGAGACGAAGTCTCACTATGTTGCCCAATCCAGTCTCAGACTCCTGGGCTCAAGTGATCCTTTTGCGTCAGTCTTCCAAAGTTCTGGGGTTACAGGCATGAATTGCCATACCAGACCTCCCTCCCTCCTCTCCCCCTTATAATTCCAGCTTCTGTTTTCTTATAGTAAAAGCACTTAACATGAGATCTAGCCTCTTAACGAGTTTTAGGTATACAATACATTATTGCTGACTATAGGTACAATGTTGTAGGGCAGATCACTAGAGGTTATTCATCTTACTTAGTTGAAATTTAATGTCTGTTGATTGATAACTCCCCATTTTTCCCTCTCTCCAGCCCTTGGTAACTACCATTACAGTCTTTGATTTTATGATTTTAACTACTTTAATTACCTGATATAAATGCATATGAATTATAATAATCCATGTCCTTAATATGACAATATTAATATAAATGGACTCATGCAGTACTTGTCTTTCTGCGTCTGGCTTATTCCTCAAAGTCCAACTGGGTATGTTTCTTATTTCTTTTCTTAGCAAAATGACCAATTGGTAAAAATTTGATAGGTCTAGGCTGTTCCAGAATGTTCATTACTTTGGCATATTTATCATTTTATTTATCCCTGACATTTACTCAATTCTGTCTTGAGGAATGAATATCCATTTTAGCAATGATTTATAAAAAAGTATTATTTAACATTTTTGTAGGAATGAGAAAAAGCAAAAAGAGTTCCATGCGATGATGGAAGAGTCCTAGTTCTACATATTAAAGATATTGTCCTGTCCTTGGTCCCATCCCCAGCCTTGTGCTTTCCCTGCTTCTCTGTTGAGCTTGTCTTCATTTCTGCTTATGTATTTTAACTGTTGGAGTCAAGAGGGGTGGTAGAATGTTAGTACTTTGCTTGAGTTTGTGTGTGTTTTTTCTGTCTTATTTTGTATTTGTGCTCAACGAGACAGGCATTTCTCTGAGAATCATGTGTGTTTCAGAAACTCTGAACCGAAAGGCATACTGAAACATAGCTGACTGTGGCACTTTAGGTTTGAAAGGATCCCATGCTTCTCTCTTTCAATCTGTTCTCAGGGAAAGTGCATGAGTAAATGTCAAGGACTGAAGTTCTGCCGAGTGAGAGAGGGGTAATTTGATGTTGCCAAAAACAGATTTCCACCTCTAGAAAATGTATTAGTTTTATATAGAGAACAAGCACATGCTTTCTTGTTTGAACTTTGAAAAATCTTTCTGAGAAGATTGATATAATATTGACATAATATTGATGACTACTCTCTAAGCGAAGATATTCAGTTGGCCAGACCACAAGTTTATGGGTTGTTTTTCATACATACACACACACATACACATAAAATTTCCTTTATATACTTAAATATATAATATATTTGTATTAATGTGTGTATAATTGTATATACATAATTATACTTGGGATTTAGAGAAATAGTCACTTTCTATGGTCCTTACCTTTATTGTGATTGAAAAGTGATGTTTTGTTTTGTTTTAACATCTTAGACTATTTGAGACTATAAAATGATGTTGTTATTACCTCATTCTTTTTATTCTGGTAATCATATTCATCAATATATTTTTCTCTTTAAAAAAGTACAAAGCAGTACGTATTTTTTAGTACAAGTATATGGATTAAAACATAGAAGTTTGATTTCCTTGGCTCCATTTAATAATTGTTAACTCTTTGGGGTAGGCTTCCCAAGTTTCCCCCATGTATTTGTGTAGATAAAATGTATTTCTACAGAGAAATTGACAGGGACATGATTTATTATTTTTCTGTGACTTACCTTTATTTACTTAGCAATATGCCTTTCCAAGTCAGTATCTTTAAACACCCGAATGGTTTTCCATGGTAATGATACAGATCATGCTTAATTTTTTGCTATTGTAAACAATGCTACCATGTACATGTCATAATATATTTGATACCTATATTTGAATATTTCTATGGAAGAGATTCTTAGAGGTAGAGTTACTGGGTCAAACATGGTATGCATTTAGTGTGAGAGTAGATATTGCGAAAATGTCTACCAAGAAGGTTTTACCAGTTTATATTCCCAGGTATATGGCAGAAATCTATGTTCCTTTTAAGTTAATTTTAAGGTTTCATTTGCTGTTGTATAATTTAGGAGAGGGATAGATAAGTAAAAAGTGATCATAATTCAATGTGATAATTGCATTAATGGAGCAATGTTATAAGAGGAATGTCTGAATGTCTAATTCAGATCATACTAGAAGGGTGGGGGGGGGTCTTTCCAGAGGAGTTAATGATTTAGCTAGGTCTTGAGTAATGATTTGCATTAATCTGGAAATGGAGGGGGAGGTATACTTGGAGGGAGCACGTTTCAGGCCTGGGAAGGACTGATTGTGAAAGGCAAAATGAAAGAGATAATATGAAGTACTTATTGAGGAACTCCAAGTATTTCAAAATTTTGGAAGGAGAGAATACAGTAAGAGACCAAAGAAAATGCAAGAAAGGTAGTAAGAGATTGTGATGATTATCCTAAGGAAATAGGATTTTATTGTAGAAAATGATGACCCCTTAAAAGCTTTTGTATCAATGGAAAAACATAATCTAAGTTTTGTATTAGAAAGATCACTCTCATGAGTGGATTGCCTGAGCCCGCAGGTTCGAGAACTGCCTGGGCAACTTGGCAAGACCTCATCTCTACAATAAATCAAAAAATTAGCAGGGCGTGGTAGCACGTGCCTATAGTTCCAGCTACTTGGAAAGCTGAGGCCAAAGGATCGCCGGAGCCCAGCAGGTTGAGGCTGCGGTGGCCGGGAGCAGCCAATGCACTCCAGTCTGGGTGACAGAGTGAGACTCCAGCTCAAAAAAAAAAAAAAAAAAAAAAAGATCACTCTCCTGTTATTGAGGGAAGTAGAATGAGGTAAGTTCAAAAACAGGAAGGAGAACAAAGGAGGAATGGTGCAGTTCTAAGTTGAGGCAATGGTAATGCCTAAGAGAAAACAGGGGTAGATTTGAGAGTTCCTAAGGAGGAATACTGAGTAGAACTTGGAGAAAATATGACTGTAGTGAGTGAGGGAGAAGGAAAAATGGGGATGGTTTTTGTTTGCCAAGAGACAGAAGACAGGAGAAAAGACAGATGAAGATAACTTTAGTTTAAGATAATGTAAAAATCTGATGCTGTTATGCATCAGTGTGTGGAAGACTGTATGTGGCAGTCAATGAGAACTGGGCTGGAGATACATTAGGGGAGTCACTGTCACATAGATGAAACTGAGTCCTTGTGAAGGGGTGTCATCTCCCTGGGAAAATTTGTAGAAACAGAAAAGACATTTAAGGATCACTGAAGAAAGAGAAGAAACCTGTGAAAAAGACTGAGAAGGAATGGCCAGTGTACTGTGAGGAAACCAGAAGAGAATGGCATGCTGATAAAAGAGGGAAAGAGTATAAGTTTCACACTAGATTATAGTGGAAGTGAAGCGGTAGTGAGAAAATGAGTAGAGACTATGGTTTGGGGATGTTTGGATGAGGTGGTGGAAGCCATGAATCTGTAGTAGGTAATGCCTATATTCTGAAAGTTTTAGATACTAAGACTTTTGAGTCAAAAGAAATGGATTCAAACAACCCCATTTTAAAATGGGCAAAAGATATGAACAGACACTTGACAAAGGAAAACATCTGAGCAGCCAACAAACACATGAAGAAATGTTCAACCTCACTAATCATCAGGGAGATGCAAATCAAAACCACACTGAGATACCACCTAACTCCAGCCAGAATGGCAATTATCAACAACTCAAAAAATAACAGCTGCTGGAGAGGGTGTGGCGAAAAGGGAACACTTCTACACTGTTGGTGGGAGTGTAAACTAGTGCAACCTCTGTGGAAAGCAGTGTGGTGATTCCTAAAAGCTCTAAATATCCTCCCATATGACCCCGCAATCCCCCTACTGGGAATATACCCTGAAGAACTCAAATCACTCTATAAAAAAGATACCTGCACACGTATGTTTATCACAGCGTTGTTCACAATAGCAAGAACCTGGAAGCAACCATGCTGCCCATCAAAAGAGGACTGGATTAAAAAAACGTGGTACATATACACGATGGAATACTACGCAGTCATAAAAAAGAACAAAATCATGAATTTTGCAGCAACCTGGATGGAACTAGAGTCTATACTGAGTAACTCTCACAGAAACAAAGATCTGAGTATCACATGTTCTCACTCATATAATGGACCTTGAACATCCAATGTAATACTATAAGAAAATGACTGACAGTAGTGGGAAACTATGGGGGGGAGGGAGATGGGATCAACGGTAGCAAATATCTTTCTGGGGACGGGGAAACACCTCTTATCAACAGGGTGCCTGAATGAAACGTATTTTTATACTTAACCCTTAACTGTACCCCACAACATCATAATAAAAAATATTGGTTAAAAAAAAACCCCCCAAAAAACAATAGCCATCCTGACCGGTAAAAAAAAAAGGAATGGATTCAAGACGCTTTGTTTCAGCATGTGTTAGTAATATAGCAACAAAACAGGAGAGCTGTGAGAAGCAAATGAGATGAATGTTAACATATATATTAGTTACCAATATTATCCTGAGTCTTCATTTCACCTTGGGTGGCTAAAAATCAATGTGTAGGGAGGGGCAAGTAGTCACCTAATGAATAATGGCTTAAGCGTTGAACCTGGGTTTTATGAAATTACAATTATTGTGTTCTTTTGCATAGGATGCTATTTTGTCCCCCTCATTCTTTGTTCAGGAAAATGTCATTCACAGGTATTTATTGCATTTCTACTATGTGCAGGTACTAAGAACAGTGATGATTCAAACATTGTTCTTACTTTCAACGATCGTGTGATCTAGTAGGGTAATAGGAAATAGACAATTGTTCTATAACGTAGCAAGGACAAGAGGGAAGTGCACGCAGCATAGAGGAGAGACATTGAGGAGATGGGAGTGGAGTCCGAGGAAGGTTTCTCAAAAGTGAAATCTGAGTGGGGAAGGATGAGTTATCCACGTAAAGCAGGAGGTAGAGGAATGAAGGTAGACAGTGAAGGTAACAATGTAAAACTAGTGAAACCAGAGTTAACTTAGTATGCAGTAGGTAATGGGAAGCCACCGGAGGCAGTATATTGCCAGACCATCAGATGAACAGCATACCCCACCAGGTATGAAGCCAAGAGCCGTATGATGAATGCCCTTATATGGAATTCAAATGAGTTTAGGTTTTTATACTAGTGGCTATTGGAAGCTGTTGAGATTTTTACTAGGAAGTGAAAATGACTAGATTTTTGTTTCAAATAGAAAATATTGAGGCCTGAATGGAGGAGGAATTGAAGAGAATGTATCCTGAAGTAGGATGCCCCACTAGAGGAGAGAGTTTATAGTAGTTTGGGCAATGAGAACGAACATGGGAGTAAGGGTTAGAGGACTCATTCAAGAAATATTTAGGAGAAGAAATGGATAACCCTTGATGGAAGGTATGAGGGGTAGGGAAGAGGAAGGAATGTGCTAGGTTTCTAGGGTGGTTGTGTTGGTGGTGTCTCCACTTGATGAGAGTTGGTGGGGAATATGGGGAATTCATTTTTTAAGATATTCTCCTAACATTTAAAAAAAAAAAACCTAATTTATCACATATTTCCATTTTATTTTGTAGATAATTTCATGATCATTTTTCATCCAGTACTAATTTGACAGTAAAGCTGTTAGATGTCTTAGGTCTTTTTAAAAATTCCTTATGAGGAGTAAAACTTTGCTTTTAAAATGTCTATTTATGCCTAACTATCTGCTTTCTGTCTTAATTTTTTTTTCAACCTCCAGGAAGAACCTAGGAAAGTCCGCTTTGATTATGACTTATTCCTGCATCTTGAAGGCCACCCACCAGTGAATCACCTCCGCTGTGAAAAGCTAACTTTCAATAACCCCACAGAGGACTTCAGGAGAAAGTTGCTGAAGGCAGGAGGAGTAAGTGGCAGTCTCTCATGAAACGCCTTTCTATAAAAAACGGTTGTTAGTACCTTAAGAAGTATAATGAGGTTTTAGGAGAGTTGAAAGGAATGAGGTACCTTAATGGTTTAGCTGTGGACTCATGGTCTGAGATGAAGAGGCAGGCAAGCAATATTGAGATATGAGTCTGAAATTACACGATTAATTAAAACAGCCTTAAGAACTATGCAGCTCAAATTTATTATGACAAAAGGCAAAAGCCAAACAAGCAATTATCTATCCTCAATTAGGAAGAGAACAATGTTTCTGAACTTTGTTATATCAGTGTATAGAAACTTTTAGGTTAAGTTGCAAGTCCCATCAACAATTAGATAAGGAGGAATTGTCCATACTGTCTTGATCATTGTTAATAGAAAAGATGTATCCCCTCACTTTACATGTTTGGGTCATTTAAAGAGACATTTTTGTGTGTTTGAATTTTATGTAGGTAAAAGATGGGATTTTTCTTTTTTAAGATCATGATAATGAAGATGTGATACATTTTTACCCTTGTGATTTGGCTAGGATGGAAAAGAATTTTAAGTTACTTGCAAACATAAACATTTGGAATGTTTGTAGCCAAGTCAACTGTACAGACAAACACTTGATTGGTCAAAATCTATTTTACACTGGGTGTCATTGGTATCATCGGCTCCTGTGTCAGATAAGCTTCTGTGTCATCTTATGTAGGCTCTCTAGACCAATATTTTTATATATGTTCTTTACTCTAGGATTCTCTTCACTAAGTTTTTCTGGAAGGTTTTAGTATAGTTTTGTATCTATGATATTATAATTTTCTATAAGCACGTGTAGACCATAATCTGTCAAGATAAACTCTGCTTGAGGGCATATAGGAAAGTGTGTTTTTTTTTTTTCTTTTGTGGCATAAAAATTCTTTCCCTTCTATTGGGTCATGGACAACCACTTTGAGAACCTTAGAAAAGCTATGGCTCCTCTCATGAGAAAATCTCCCATATATAATTGTGTGAACATTTGGGGTTATGTGGACCCCAGCTTTTTGAGTCCTGTTTTGCCAGTCTCCTGTCCTTTTAACTGAACTATAATATGCATTTGAAGTACATTTCATTCCTCACTTGTACTATTTGTCCATAGATTATGGGTTAAATAGGTTTTGGTGCATCTGTTTTGGAAATATACCACTACTTAGAGTAGTCTATGGGGAAATTGAGCTTCAAGAAGAAATAGGCTTTTAGTAGCACAACTTTTTTTGTTTTGTTTTGTTTTGTTTTGAGTTGGAGTCTCACTCTGTCACCCAGGCTGGAGTGCAGTGGCACACCACGGCCACCATGGCCTTGACTTGCTGGGTTTAGGCTCTCTTCCGCTTGGCCTTCCCAGTAACTGAAACTGCAGACGCACGCCACCATGCTTGGCTAAGCACAATTCATTTTAAAGTTGGGACTTATTAAATGTTTAATAAAGAAGCTGTTTGAAAAAATAACCCCATTGTCTTCTTCTTATAGTTACAAGAACAGTGTTGATGCTGTTTACCTATGCCTACGCCCTTAACAATCAGCTGGACCATTGTTACATCCTAATCACACTTGTTATTTTTGTTTGTTTGAGGGTGACATTTTACACTTCTGATGATCCCTCTTGGGTATGGAGTTGGGTAGATAATTAGAGGGTGTGAATTATGGAACGTGAGTACCACAGGCTTCTGATAAGGGTCATAGGAGAAAGTAAATATGACATAAGACCTTTTCAAAGCAACCACTTAGTCCCAGAGTACTCGAACTTGCCTGTGAGCTGGAGGAGAGGTTACAGTTAGTGATAACAGCATAGTGCCACACTGCATCCTGATAAGGTCTCTAGTCAATTTCTCGTCTTTTGCTCCACTCAGCTTTTATCTCAGAATGATCCTTCTTGATTTCTAGCTTTCCTTTTTTGTGTTTAAGTGCAGTTTGAAGCTGGCTGATATTTTCCTTTTAGAATTAGATTGTATCTTGACAACTCTAAAATAATAAGTGAAATGTGAACTATTTCAGGCATATGCTACTGGAAATATTACATGTTCCCTAAGGGCCTAATTACAGTGAATCTTGTAGTAAAATAAATATTAAAACATTTATTTGAAATTGTAGAAATTACACAAATTCTTCCCATTTCATATAATAAGATCAAAGTAACTGTCTATAGAAATCTTAAAAAAAAAAACAGTAGACTAATAAACATTTTTTAGGCTTATCTAGATTTTTTACTGCAATATATTATTTATATTGGACACATAAACAATTGTCTCGCCTTACTATTAATGCAGCCTATCATGGTGTCACTAACTTATGAGCCATTTTGATTTCACTAGAAATCTTTTGTTCACCACTGTCTCTTCAGATAAACTTTTTTTTTTTGTCCTGAGTTTTGGGGTGGAAGGAGAGGGGATGCTGTGTTCTTTATACCTAAAGATTGTGTGACAAAGATGTGCATGTTCTACCTTTTAAGGAAAACATTGACCTCCTTCTTCATATATACTGTATGTAATCATTATTTATAACTTGAGGCCTGAGTGGAGTAAACATAGTATTTGGCTGTGGTTCCGCTCTTTCACTCTTTTCTTTTAAACCAAATGTATACAGCGTTATTGAAAGTTGAACTTTGTTTTTCAATAGATTAGAAAGGTTGTTTTAGATCTGCCAGTATCATAGAAAATGCTTTTCAGATTTAAAAAAAATTTTCTTTAGAGACGAAGTCTTGCTTTGTCACCCAGGCTAGTGTGCAGTGATGCAAATTCATTATAACCTTGAACTCCTGGGCTCAAGTCATCCTCCCATCTCAACCTCCTGAATAACCGGGACTACAAGCATATGCCACTATGCTCACATAATTTTTTTATTTTTGTTTTTTGGGGGCAAAAGTGGAGTCTTACTATGTTGCCCAGGCTGGTCTCCAACTCCTGACCTCAGATGATCCTCCTGCCTTGGTCTTCCATAGTATTGGAATTAGAAGTTTGAGCCATCATTCCTAGCCAATTTTTAGTTCTTAGAAGAAAATAATTCCAAGCAACTTTTTTGCCAAAGAATCTTGAAACATTGCAGACTTTTTTCTATTTAATAAATCGATAGCTATGTGACTTTTTTTTTTTTTTGGTCAATAACATTTTCTTCACTGGATTTTTAAATATATTTTAATGTTGTAGCTATTTTCTAAGTAGTCTTGAAGAAATCTTGGTGTACTTCCTCTTTACAAGAAATGTATCCTGTGCTCTTCTGTTGCATAGCTCCCTAATATTAAGGATATTTTTGTTTTAAAACAATATGTGGGCAGGGCACATTTAGCTTTAAGCATTATTTTCTTAGACTACTGCAATACAGAATGATTTCTTTAGCAGGACGCTGAACGTAGTTTTCTTTAAATTAGAGACCTTCTTAGAACTTGCTGAGGAAGCTGTGGATTTGGTTTAGGACCTAGTCCCTGTCAGGCCCTAAGTAACAAAAAGTAGAGGGTAGGGATTAGAAAATGGAAAAGAACAACTTGAGAGCTTCTTTTAAAAATATTACTTATATTTATTATTATATATATTTATGTATGTATTTTTATTTATACGTGTTATTTTATGATATTACTAAGGAAGGCAGTTTGTTTTTTGGTAGTAGGAAGGGGAGCAATGAGCAATAAACTTTTGAGGGCAAGGACAAACATAATGTGTCTTTTAATTTTAAACAAAAAGACCAACTGTGTCCCACTGAGAAACACCTGTCTATTCTGCCAAGATATTTCTATTTATTTTGCACTAAGAAAAATGCACCGATAGATCCCTTTTGGATCAGAAATTCTCAAGTTGTGCACATCAGGATGTTGAAATTAAAGGGCTTGTGATCACAATAGGTGGTTTTCTCTCTATTCACTTATCATCTTTTTGGTAGCTGGAATTTCAGTCATACTGAAAAACAGCATAGAAGGGTTTGGCACCCATTACTCTAAGACAGTGGATAAAATAAGGTGAGCTTTTTTTGGGGGGATGGGCAAAGCAAAGATATACAGTGTATTAGACAATGTATATCAGATCACCAAGATGTGATTTGTCTGTCTGGATTTCTGGTTGGGAAGGAGTGTGATACAATGGAAAAGTTTTAAAGTCAGACAGATTTAGCGGGGGGAAAGCCTCATCTATCATCTTTTAGCTGGGTTACCGTGGAAGAGTCTTTGCATCTTTTTGAATCCCAGGTTTTCAGCTGTGAAACATAAGGCCGTGTTTTCCTCACAGGAGATGTGTAATCATGGTGTGTGGATGATTGCATGGTAGATACCTAATGCCTTGGTTCTTTTTACTTGGATTACTGACTTAGAATATCAATAGGTGCTTAGCCAACTTTACATCAGGGACTGAAAGGTACAGTGAAAAATATTTGTTATTTAGTGTAAACTGCTCTAAATACATTTATTCACAGGAAAGCGTGTTTAGCACCAGTTAGTGTGGCCAGTATGTTGATGGACTTGTGTTGTGTTTAAAGATTAGTCCATAGTATTTTTCTTCAGGGTGATTATACTCTGGCTATTTGTATTTTGCTTGTGTAAAGTGCAACTTCAGGTCTCTTTGGAATATCATTTTTAATATGTTAAGTTTTCACTACAAGAATTACTGATTCTTACCATTGTTCTTTATACTAAATTTCTAGCAGATTAAATGCTTCTCAAAGCATTGTGTTCCTGTAGAAGATTTCATATGTATGTCTAGCAAGGTGACTGCAGCCTTGTATCTCTATGGAGGAAGAACAAAAGGGGCAAGTGTCTTTGGAAAATTGAGTTTATTTTACAATCGTTCCCTTTTCTTTTGACCTGGAAAATTAAGTGGTCTGCTTTGGTTCTCTTCTTGCAGGGATAGTGATAGAGTGTTTGGGTGCATGTGTTTGTCTTTCCTTCTTTCCCTCCTTCCTTCCTTTCTTCTTTTCCTCAATTAAACAGGGCAAAGTCTAAACATGTTGTTCAGTCTATTTCTGAATCACTGGCAAGCAGTTAATTTT